CTACGCTGCCTGCAAACGCAGATAGCATTTGACACGATAATCACAGCAGTACCACCACTAGCTCAGCAGGGTTGCCCAATAGCCTACCATTAGGCTTCCCCTGTAGTATGGACGTTCAGCGAAGGTTTAGGGAGACGAGCGCCTACACCTTGTTCATGTGACTTTCTGTAGTCACCTGCAGCAACACAAGCGACTGCTGTAAACTACACATTGAAGAGAGAGAGATAAAATGTGCCTGCAGTTGTACTGCTGTACGACAACGGCAGGCTGGTTCCATTGCACCTCTCTTGAAATCGTTCGTGGTTACTGGCAATACAATAGTAGGTGTAGCTGTGCCGCGTGCTGGAGGGGCTACACGGCAGTCGGGACTGAGGACACCAGTCTTTGACTTCAACGTTCATGTGTGATTTGAACAGCAGTGGTATTCAACTGCTGATTCTCTTTCTACCAAGATACTTTTGAACTGCGTCGCCGAAAGAAACCAAAAAGATCTCCCGGCAACCCGCCCATGTCAGATTTGGCTACCAGAGATAAAAAGACCAACGGGGTCAAAGAGAGAGAGAGAGAGATATAGGTGCCCGCAATTGTACTGCTGTAAGACAACAGCAGGCTGGTTCCATTGCATCCCTCTTGAAATCGTGTGTGGTGTAGGCGTACTGTAGCTGTGCCGCGTGCTGGAGGGGCTACACGGCAGTCGGGACTGAGGACACCAGTCTTTGACTTCAACGTTCATGTGTCATTTGAACAGCAGTGGTATTCAACTGCTGATTCTCTTTCTACCAAGATACTTTGCACTGCGTTGCCGAAAGAAACCAAAAAGATCTCCCGGCAACCCGCCCATGTCAGATTTGACCACCAGAGATAAAAAAGACCAACGGAGATCAAGGAGAGAGAGATAAACGGTGCCCGCAGTTGTACTGCTGTACGGCAACAGCAGGCTGGTTCCATTGCATCCCTCTTGAAATCGTGCGTGGTCACTGGCAATACAATAGTAGGTGTAGCTGTGCCGCGTACTGGAGGGGCTACACGGCAGTCGGGACTGAGGACACCAGCTTTGATTTCAACGTTCATGTGTTAGTTGAACAGCAGTGGTATTCAACAGCAGTGTGTACTTCTGTACGATTCCAAAAGATCTCCCGGCAAGCCGCCCATGTCAAATTTGACTAGAGAAAAAATGAAACCAACGGAGCTCAAAGTAGCTCGTGCGTGAACTACCAATGACACGTACTCGCCTTCTCTGCTGCCTTGACCTTGCTCTAGGACGAGTCCAAGGGGAGCGATCCCGCAGGGGCGGGTTGTCCAGCTCTCTCTCTTCTCTCTCTCGGGGAAGGAACCCTGCTGACACGTGGTACACAATTTCGGGTGGTCACACAGCAGCAATTGCACAGCAGTACGCTCGAAATCTGCAGCGAAATGACCCGATCCTCAAGGATCGCACACGAGAGATCCCCACACTCTCAGCCAAGCCAACCTATCATCCCAACTTATAGCTTTATCCCTTCTCGCGGGAAGCAGTTGACTCCCGTCTCACGGGGATCGAAAACAGCAGGCAGTCAAACAAATGACCCGGGGCCCCATCCAAGCCCAAACACTCCCCCTCTCGTGCCGGGCTTGATGCGCGTGGAGCGACGCCGGTGAGATGAAAGCGGTCTTAAAGTACGTACCTCTCTTGTCCTATCGGGGCGAGGCAGATATCTTCGGCAGCGCCTTGTGTGTGTGTGTGGAGAAGGGTTGGTGGGGCAGGAGAGCGCAGGAGACGGGACAGCGAGGGAGAGGAGAGGGGGGGGGGGGGTAGGGGAAAAAAGTCCCCGTCCCCGGGGTTTGAACAGGTTTGGGGAAGTGGGCTACTACCACAGTTCAATTATCC